ATTTTATTAACAAACAATTTGGTCATTAAACACATTGAAAATGCATTGCTTTTCATATAAAGTTATTGCCCTTAATCTGAACATTAGTGGTGTTTATCAATGACCCGTCTCTTTACACATTTAAATATATCCTGTTTTTAAATCACTAAAAAAAAGTTTTATTTTTACGGACAAAATATTAATTTATTTACATTTCATTTTAAATTAAAATTAAAAAAGAGATTTTTGAAAGAAATGTTGTGTTATATAAAGTTTGAAATTCTTGTATGATTTGAAGCGCTCGATAATAAAAGATTACATTTTTTCATTCATATAAATAAAACAAACATAAAAAGCAATTAAGTGAAGCACTCAAAGCAATAGTAAATAATATTTAGCTCTAGTTTATTTTTGTTTCAAGAAATAAAAAGTTTTTTCATACAGTACTACAAAGTATAATGAATTTAATGATATTAATACTATACATACCATCCAAGGAAACTCTCCGTAATAGGCATTCCCTCCGCCGACAATCCGAGGGCTCCTGATCTCTGGTCGACCGCATCGATATGTTTTGTTCACTTTAATTAATCACAAATTTATTAATTGATTGATTAATTTTTTATATCAAATATAAGAAGTGTAAGACATACAGTTTTTGGTACTTTTACTTGATATTAATTGACAACATAATAGAAAAACAATAAAAGCAATACAATTTCTAATTGTTGTGATTATCATCATATTCTGTGTGATTGAATGCCAGTGTGTTTTGATGCAAATGTTAAGGTCTGACCTGAACTGCAGTCAAGCGGACGTAATATCACTTTCTATGAGAGGATGACCTGAACTAAAGCTATAGTGAATTGATTGTCAAAATAGACTCTAAAGAAGTTGTTATTGTTTTTATAGTTATTTATAAGAATAAAAGGTATTTTCAATTCGTATCCTAAATATGGGAATTAAAGCCATAGATTGACCTAAAATCACATTTATTAGCATTTAATGGGTTAAAGAATTATTAAAGGACTCAATAGGTTCTCGTGTTATGACAATAAATAATGCAATAAAATGATAATTGTATTCAATTTAATACACTATAGTGTTATCTACAATGTATTTGTTAATTAATTTTACAACTCATTAAATATAATCTATTGAGAAGTTGTTCTGGAAATTGAATATTATTTTTTGTTATGTTAAACAAGATTCAAATATTTCAAATTCATTAAATTGAAATTAACGTCAAAATAAAGTTATTTAGATTTAATCTATAGTTTTAATTAATTACTTCAATTAATTTGAATTTTGATTTTTTCTTTTTTACGAAAAAGGGATGAATTTATAAAATGTTTGATAAAAAAAATTTAATAAATTCTTGAAACCAAGTCATGAATTATTCATTATTAGATAAATATGAGAGATAATTAGCGGTTATTAAATTTGATTAATAAATACATATAACAACTAAACTTCATATGAATTTATAATAATTGCCAATAGAAGAGCTAATTACTAATTAATATTAATTTTCATATTTAATAACAAAAATCCGAATTTAATGTTAGAAACAAAATGTTTTTAAATTACCGGTACATTAAAAATATAATATTCATTCTCTAACTTATTTATAATTTAAACAATAAAAATGAATTGCATTTTATATGTAAAATGAGGCCAAAACTATTGAATTAATATTTATAGATAATATACAGTAATATATTTTGAATATTGAATATTTGCAATTAAGTTTCTAAACAAGTTGACTCAATTGATTCAGTAAATAAGCAACTAATTGTGATTCAATTGGATTTATGTGTATATTTAAAGCAATAGTGATATAATTATTGAGAATTTGATGAGAAAAGCATATAAAGAATGATCTCTTTTGACACTCTCTGACCTTTTATATGGACTAATGTTTTGATGTCTTATACGAAACCCAAAAAAACAAGAATATCTCGATTCAGATCGAAATGATTTTATAATAATAGCAATTTGAGCGCATAATTATACATTTGATTTACCATTTGGTCTGTAATTTAGGTATAATTAGTTAGAAATCAATTGAAAATTACTCATTCACTCGATTATACTTTTTTATTTCATTTTATTAATAACAGTATTATATTATTTCTCACAGAGAAATATAATGAATCAATTGCCACATATTTATAAAACATTAATCTAATGAAAATCTCTCAGATATTTTGTTTTGATGAATCTATTAAATCAAATCAAAACAGACTCACGATATTTGCCATGAATTGGGAACTAAAGCTTTTTTGGCTCTCAGGTCCACACATCGCAGGAAACTCATCGGGGGTTCTGTACAGAGGGGTCTCTCTCTCTCTCTCTCTCTCTCTCTCTCTCTCTTCTTTCATATATCATTAGTTTTAAAATTTGTCATTTCTTTCTGATTATGTTAATGAATACTCCAAAACGAATAGTATTTGTGTTGTTTTTTCCAAATGAAAAGTTATTAGAATTAAAAAGTCATAAATAAATATGAAATCTATGTTTTGAAACCTATAATCATTTAGTGAACAGATAGGGGTCTAATTGAATACTCGCTCTTAGATTACGAAAATCATATATAATTCGCTGATAATAACTAATTGGTTGTGAGATTATAAATGGGATTTTAATGCCAATCGAGAGTAATTGGGATCATGTTTAAAGTATCAGAATAAATAAATTATTTAAAACTGCAATCATAATAATATATCCAAATCTCAATCAAAAATCAATTTAACTTAAATTTTCATTTCTATTTTAAAGTAATTTTTAAAATAAATTTTAAAACAAAGTTATAAATTATTACTATTTTTAGTTTATTTATAGTTTTTGCTTTTAAATCATTACTCGGCTATAAATTTAATTAAATATTCAGAAAAAGTAATGCTTACAATTTAGGGCCATTAATTTATAATTATTTATAAATGTTATTTTCTAAATTTTTTGCTAAACTTATACAAATATTTAACAAAAATTACTTTAATTAATCAAATGGTTTGCATTGAATTATTAAAATTTATTATTGTTATTAGAATTCATAGAAATATATATTAAATTAAGTATAATAAACGGTTTCCTGAAAGACCGGTGAGAATGTGGTCGACAAGAACCACATGATTGGCTGCATTTATAAACTATTATAGATTATATATGAATGAAATATTTTAAACAATATTCATCGAAGTCAGAGATCTTTTATTTTGTCTGTGAGACCGGACATTATGTCTCACATTATGTCGTTTGAGACAAAAACATAAATCTTCAAACACTTTAGAAACAAGTTATCCATTCAATGGAATCGACTCTATGTTTGAGTTTGCTTTCGTTTGCATCGATTCTGTATTCAATTTTACAATAACACAAATCAATCACAAACCAAGAGTTTGGTAAAATAGTATTCCACTAGTTATTGAGTGTATGATAAAAAACAACAAAATTGGTAGCACAACACCGATTAATAAAAAATTGAGCCGAAAAGTTTTTATAAATGAATACATATAAAAAATTTACACAATATAGCTTTTTGCCACAAAATATAAGTTTTTGTAACCAAAAATTATCACACTCTGAGCATTATAGTAACAAATAGCTTTCTTTTAAACTACCTTAACTTGTCTTAATCTGACAATAACTACTTAATTACGGAGATTTTACTAGATCACATAATTGTGTCCACTATTTGCAACACAATTTTATAATAGTGTTCTAACAGTGTTCTAACAGACTTACTTTTAATCTTAAAATGTACTCATTTTTATTATATACATTCAATGATTACAGAAATCATTTTTTAAAAGCATTTTATTTCTCCAAACATTGACAAGAATTTATAAATAATTGAATAGAAATGAATTGTAATTTCGATGAAAAGCGAGAAACGCGTAAAAGTGTTGCGAAGAACTACTCTTTAGTGATGGCTTTATAGACGATAATACCGGTGATAAAACCCAAACCAAACATCGCAAACGGCTCGAGTCTAAGGCCATGGGAAGAGTGTTTCACACCTTTATCTGCGGTATAATTGGATTCATAATCAGAAAAGTCGTCAAATTCTTCGTCACTCGACTCCAAATTGGTTTCGTCTCCTGAGGTGTCGTTTCGGTCGTCATTCGGACTTCGGGTCAGTTCTGTCTTTTGCAGTGTTTGCCGATGAATGTCGTGATCGTATGGAATCGGTTCCGAACTAATTGGGACCAAATCTGACATTTCTTCTGATTATAAGAATCTAACGAATAGTATTTGAAAATCAGTTCAAACTATTTATGGGATTAAAGCGCGCTCTCGAGTGTTGCCTCACAATTGTTATAAAGTTACATATGCTTACAATTGCATACAATTTTTATGCAATCATTTATATCAATAACTTATAATTAATATTATCTTATAATTTAAGGTACTAAACAAATGACCATGGTATTAACCATTTAACAGCTTATACGTCTGCGGGGTACCGAACTAATGTTCATCATTATATTTAAATTAATTCCTAAACAATGATATTCTGTGAATCTAAATACAGTTTTTATTATTTGTCTGTTAAAAATATCGATTAAATATATCGTAATTATTTGAGAAAATGACCAATAATTATAACCATAATGAATACAACCACGGTACATGCAACTTTGTATTTATTGGGGTCAGAGGTCATAAATAGTTTGTCCCATAAGATTCTGTGTTTGGCGCACAAGTTTATAATGGTCATTTGTGATTATGTTCAAACCCAACTGGATTAATAGTTACCTAATTAATACCCAATTATGCCCCTTATGTGCAAAACACCCCCTCTTATGCTAGTTATGGTCTTTTAAGTAAATTTCACATCTTTTTGGCACAATTTCAAAGTTACCAAACATTGAAGTAAACCAATGAATACAGTATTGAGACTGCGATAGAGGAGTGCTATTAAGCGATAGTCCGTACGATAGATGTCGTGACCGACGCCTCCACTCGTAATCACTGTTTACATAAGGATTGCATTGAATTCAATACAAATGTTGTATTGAGTGAGCAGTGAATGAATGAACGAATCGATAGTCCGATAGTCAGTATGTTTTGACCCAATTCTTAGCATTTGTGACACTTTTGCCACTATTTTCGTGATTTGCTTTCATTTGGCGTTTAATTTAGTTTTGGTTTTGTTTTATCCGTTTATATAACCATTGATTTCAATGTAATTCAAAATGAAAAGAGTTGTCATATTTGTGAACGGATCCAAAATCGACGGCAAAGTAAGTGATGGCAGAGTCGGTCAGCCCTTGACAACAGATGATAACCCATTGAATCCCATATTCTTCAGGTGTTTTCAGTGGACCACTCGTTGGATGAGTTGCTGACCAACTCTTCGCAGAAGTTTGGCGTCCAATGCAAACGTCTCTTCACTAAAGATGGCGGAGAGATAGACGACATCCAACTCGTCAAAGACGATGACATACTCTATGTCTCAGACGGACAGCCGTTCATCAAACCCACCGCCGATGACACCAACAAAGACACCAATAAGTAATGCATTTGTTTTGTGATTAATGTCCGCATTGTTTGTAAACCAATGGTTTGTCTCGTTGAATGGTTACAGAAGTATTATAAACATAAACTCCGCCAACGAATGGATTCTTCTGAATATCGGCGGAAAGATCTTCTCGACGACGAGAAGCACATTAGTGGCCAAAGAGCCGAATTCAATGCTCGCCCGTATGTTTGCCATCGAAAACGACAACTCAATGATCCTCCCGTCGCCCAAAGACAAGAGCGGAGCCTTTCTTATCGACAGAAGTCCCGAATATTTTGAGCCAATACTCGGTTACCTAAGACACGGACAGCTGATCGTCGACCGCAATGTCAACCCTCAGGGCGTCTTAGAAGAGGCAAAGTTTTACGGAATCACTTCACTTATACCCGAATTGGAGTCAATGATCATCGAAGAGATTCCCGACTCGACGACAGCGCCGCTCACGAGACGCGATGTCATCAACGCTATCGTCAAGACGTCCACCACTTCGGAGCTCCGGTTTCAGGGCGTGAACTTAGCCGGCGCTGACTTATCGCGACTCGATTTAAGTTATATTAATTTCAAATACGCCAATCTTAAGGCCGCCCGACTTCAGGTCCGTTTGCCACACACTTTGCCCTACATTTGGATTGCGTTTAACATATGTTTTTATTTTGCAATTACTTTTGCCGACCAATATCCCTCGCTTAGATTCGATGACAACAGACCTTTCCCGCCTGGATAGCAGCTCATTGTATCTTCCCCGGTGTGAAAAACCGACGTTTTACCAAACGCGATTAGACCTTTTAACGTTAGAATCCCCAGAGTACGCCATACATCCACAACCCATTTGATAATCATTGATCTGATGTTGTAATTGATCCTTAAAACGACATTTTAGGTACAAATATGGAGGAACCGCACGGAAATAGGACTAATATGGAAGGAGTGAATCTAAAAGGGGCTAATCTGGAGGGAAGTCAAATGGCAGGGGTTAACCTCAGGTATGCATTTCATTACAACGTTTGGTTTTGTTTGACTAATGATTTGTGTATTGAATGACTGAACCAAAGGGTTGCGACTCTGAAGAACTCGAATTTGCAAAACTGTGATCTTAGAGGGGCGGTGTTGGCCGGCGCTGATTTAGGTATGCCTTATATATGCATTCAATTGATTGTTGATTTGATTACAACACAATAACATATCTTTTGACACTAGAAAGCCCGAGACTAAATGTACTCCGGTTGGAAGCCCCCCGCTTGGACTTTCCCCGCCGTAAACTTGATTACGACTGAGGTAACGTATACAGTATACACGCCAATTGATATGCGGGTAATATTAGTATTAAATAATATTAAATATAATACAAAACAAAACACACACCGATTAATAGCACATAAATTACACGATTAGTTTGAATGCAATTTATGTTCACGTTTTTTGTAGTTATAATAAATGCTCTGATTTTGTGTCTGCTTTTCTATGCACTTAACCGTTCAAACGATCTTTCAATTCAATTAGACGTTTCAATTAACTTATCATTTGATGTTCATATCTATTGTGAATCCACTCGAGTATCCGGTACTCAATATACCAGTGTTTGAGTGCATCCAAAGAACCTAATGTCACACTTGTATTGCAGGAAGTCATCACCATTTGATGATTCAATCGATTCTTACATTTGACACACTTTTGACACTTTTTTAAAATTACAGATCTCTCGGCCTTTCAGTCATCAAAGTTCCTAACATTTTGACCACAAATTTTATTTATTTATTAATTAATATGATTTATATCTTATACTTCTATTAAAAGTTTGAGTTTTTTATTAGTAGCAAAAGAATATACGATTGAGTTTTCCATTTGATTACAATTGAGACCCAGAATTGTATTTCATTTGATATGGTTTTAAGTAAGTTAATACCCAATCAGACAATAAATGACTGAAAGGCCTCGAAATCAAAAACTAATTTTTATACCAAATAATTAAAACCAAATATAAATTAATATAACATTTGAATTATTTATAAAATGCAAATATTTTGTAAATTTAAATCATTTAATGAAATATTGTTTCTTTAGCCCAATATTTGATTAATGAAATGTTATTATCGATTGAATAGAGCTTTGAATATGACTTCTGGTTCTGAGTTTGAATTTTTAAGCGAATTTGTTGTAAAAGTAGTGACACTGAAAGGCATTTGGATTTTTCTCATATATTTTCATTTATATAATAACTTTTATCGTTTAGATATTGCCCTAAAAATAAAATATTAATTAATTTAATTCTATTTATATTTAAAGATTTTTATTTATATTATATTTAATTCTTATTTATTACTCTATTCTTAAAACTATTTAATATTTTATCTCTTATTTGATGTAAACGAAAACAGAAGTCTTTTTAGACAATTGATAGACAAATATCAAAATATTAATAATAATATATCTATAGTTATAATTATCTATTTATACGTGTTTTACAGAACGAGTATTGATTTTATTGTAATTCTACTGTATATCATATACTGTAAAGACTTAGTACAAGACTTTATGTAATACTTTTAGATAATTTGTGCAATCAATCAATCCTTTGTAGTGAACGCTTTACTATTGATTAAAACATTTTCTAATCCTAAACCGTCTTTTCATTGTTTGTTTA